CAGTACCAAAACGAGTCCCACATTCACATGTGAGGCTGACAAAAATTTCACATCCATGCAATCTCTCTGAGATCTCTCTGAGAATTTACAGAACCAGATAGTGTGAGAGCACCATCTTCTGGAGAAACTTGGATGGATAATTTTTTCATGTGAACTGCTGATTCCCCATCATCCAATCAAAACATGTTTAGTCCAGAGCAAAACAACAGATTGTTGCACCTGTGCTTTTTTGAGCCAAATAGGACAGCTGAGATGTTGGACCTTTTTGCAAACCAAACCAGAAAAAAGAACCAGGCAGCACAGTATCTGAGTGTGCTAACATGTTATAATCTAGTTTTAGCACAGTGTGCCACAAACTAATTTCACTTTTCAGCAGCGTTTAAATTTGGCCTACTTCATGACAACTAAGTTTGATACATAACCAGAAACTAACAAATAATTGCCAAAATAAGAAAATTAAACACAACCCAAAATTTTATTCTGGGTGGGATTATGTGTCTGTGCATTTAGCTTCAATGGAGGACTCAGGAGGGGCAAGGAAGCAAGCCACTGGCCATGGCAAAATAACATGCAGTCTGTGGCGCCCTGCCAAGGCTCAGCCTGCAGGAAAACCGTGTGTGTGTGTCTGTATGTGTTCCAATTGGAACAGAGTGTGTGCAGAAAGTGTGTGTTTAAGTAGGAAGTCATGCGGCCTTGTGCACGCAGCGTCTCCCTCCACTTCCTCTGTGCTAACTGGGCGCAGAGACAGAGAGGGTCTTTCTTCGACCCAGAGTACTTTCAGCGTCCAGGCATGTGAGTAGGGGGGATGGCGCGGTGTTGCCCGGAAAATCCCACCTGACTTTAAAATCGTTAAAAGGTACTGTAAACAAAAGGAGGCTTGGATTTAATCTACAGTAGATTTTTGTTGATCTTAGCTCCTCAGAACAGCAGCTTGTCTGGGTGAATAGTCATATCCAAAAAGTGCCAAACGCCATTTCAAGTTCAAAACTATTTGCACAGTCACCTGGTACAAGCCAGTTTACAGCTGAAATACCATCTAGTCAAGTCTACAGCAGGGGGTGTCACTGATTAGCCTAGTAACTTCCTTGTGAATACATCCTGCACATGAGTATACTTCTGATTCGATAAATACATAATTCATTTTGTCAAGTAAATTCAGATATTACAGGTCTGGATAAATGAGGTTTTGTCCTTTCTTCTCTCACTGTGTATCCGCACTGGGTTTTTTTTTTACTGTGCGAGTAAAGTAAAAAATATAAAGTGTAGTGCAGTGGCAGAGATAGACTCTCCTGAGGGTGAAACGTCTGAGAAGAGTGGATTGCATTTCTTTGACTGTTTTTCCTACAGGTACTGGCCTTTCAATGAGCAGCTTACCTTGACACATTGATGCCAAGGCAGCAGTCTCACTTTCCAAAGGACTAAGTTTATATTGAAATAAGATACCATTTTAAAAAACTAACTAAAACAATGCTGACTTGTCTTTTATGACCCAACAAAGGACATACTGTCAGCAAAGTACCATACCCAGTGTTATCTTGCTATTTAAAACACTGACTAGCTTTAATTTACACTTTCAGATAAGCTTGTACAAAGCTTGTTTCTGAAATTAGACTGACCTATGGCAACTTCTTTGGTGGAATTCACCAGGCTACTGTGAGTACCAAAAGGTGAAACAGCCAAGAAGAATATAATTTTTTTTGTGGCTCTGTAACAAGGGCAGGGGAGTGGTCATTAGCACTAGCCTGAGAGAGGCAACGCATAACTTCAACCGTGACCAGCTGGTTAGTACGTAACCCTTCATTTAGCAATATACTGTCCTGCAGATGTGGTTTTCATCCTCTAACTGGCTTTTTCTCTACGCCTGCAGCAGAACATCACATAATTTAGACCTATCCAGTCTTCACTACCCACAGCGGCAAGGAAGCTCTGTCCTGGGAACATCTTCCTGGAGCCAACAGAACGCCTGCAAAGCTGCCACACCCAGCCTATTCCAAGCTCCTCCATCTCAACAAGCCTAGCTAAACCTGGTTCTTCCTTATTGAAACAAGGCCATTCATATTTTGCCACTGTGTACATTGCAAACCTGTATGCAGAGTGACAATGAGCTAGCAAGTAGGTGTTCAGTGTCAAGGTATTTGCTACCTTAAACTATGTGGCCCCTCTGAAATACTTTTTGTAGCATTTGCAACTTTATAAGGAAGATATAAGACGAAACAGAATACATGGTTAGAGCTTCGGTTTACTGAGGCCTGCGACTGCCACAAAGCTCTTATATAGGTGTGTGCGCGCTTATGTTGTGGAAACAGAAACCACCCCACATACCATCCTACAGACATAACATAGCTATGCTGATAATCTGAATGCCAAGTCTGATTGGTAGGACTCCTGGACTATATCAAATTACCGTCTGTGGGGTGGAAAATGAAACGCAATGTTCCATGTTTCTACTCAACAGGGAGAAACATGGAGCATTTATATAACACCATGTTCCACCTGTGTTCGACTCATGGGAGCTTAAAATAGGCTTTTCTGAGAAAATTTAGTGCTGTTCATCCCATGGGTGATAAGCATGTGTGTGCGCGTGTTTTCCTGGGGGTAGAGGGTAACACAATATGTGCATAGGGCCAGTCTGCGCTGCATCCCAACTGGGCTGATAATCCATGATCATACCCACACAAGCCATGATTTCTGAGAGGGAGGCCCAGGCGAGATTAAGAACCGACCAGATCTGGACTAGCTTTCCTTTAGGTCACAGTGCCACATATAATGTTGTTTGTTTACGCTGCCTGGAATAGATTAGCCAACTAATAGACACAAACGGACACCATCACAATTTACAGGACTAATGTGGGTCAATCATTAGGTGGGTCAAACTAGATTACAAATGAACCCCCCTGCATTGTGTCTGTACAAACGTAAAAAAGCCTGCCTTGACCATCTTAACCTTTGAAAATATCTCCAAGATAATATTTCCCATCATACAAATCACTACATTTTACCACCAGAAAACATTTTAATCAGGGTTATCCTGGCCTGTCTTAAAGCATGCTACATCAATGATTTCAGGTGCTAAGGTCAGTGGTTCTCAAAGTTCAAGAACCCCTGAACTGACACAAATTACACCATGGACCCCCATATGATATTTTTTCCCAGGGTCGCCCATCTGGTGTTTTATTACAGAAAGCATGTGAACCCCATAACCAAAATAGTCATATATTCTGTCATTGTGTTACTTATAAATACAATAACAGTGAAAATAAGTGATTCCCCTTTTTGCTGGGGACCATGAGGGTCCCCGGAACCCACTTTGAGAATCACTGGCTTAAGGCTTAGATCAACAACAGCTGAATCAATGACTAACATTAGCTACGTTACGTGTAACCTTATGCTTCTTAACGTTAAACAGTGTAGATTCTCTAACTTAGTGGTTCTGCTAATGTTAATTAACGTTACACTAATATTCTAAAAATGCTCGCTACACCCACCGTCTAACTACCGACTGCTTTTTAATTCAGAGGCCAACAATGACTGTTTGTACTGTTTAATTTCAGTTTCATTGAACGTTAACTGACTGAGTCACTGTCACGCTAGCTTAAGTTCATTTTCAACCATTCCAACACATCTGAAACCAAGCGGATGGCTAGCCTGCTAGCATTATCTACCCGACTGAAAGACGTTTTCTCCCCTTATGTCCGTTTCAGTTAAAACCCATTCCTAAACCACATATCCTAGTTCTTTGTTAAAGAGTACATTTCGGTGAGATAAAACAATCTACATGTATGGGGCAGGTTGTTGTCATTCAATAAACGTTAACGGTTAAGTTAGCATCCACCCTGTTGATGTTGCTCACCGGGCAGATAGCGGTTCCGCTAAGTCACATTCATTCCGCTCACCTCTCTTTCATTAGGTGCTTGATTCTGACTATGGCCTTCTCGTCGATCTTCCTGAGGAAGGTTTTCAATCTATCCCTCTTGTTTTCAAGCATCCTTTCCCTCAGCCAGTGGTGGTCGGTTCAAGCAGAAACGACGCTCCACGCCAAACTCCACCGTTGTTGTTTGGCTTCTGTTTTGTTTTTTTTCCTTCTCCCCTTCCCACTTCACCCACGGCTGATTAAGATAATGATCTTGAATCGGACCAAGTCAGCCGACCAATCCGCGTCGGCGACAACTTAGAAAAAACGGTCATGTCAGATCGGTTATCCAACCAGAACGGAGTAGTTGGCTTGCCCCGACCGCCCATTACCTTATATGGTAGTCGGGTTGTGCCTTTCTTGAAACCTATAAAAGGTAGGCCTGCGTTATTATTGTGCTGGTGTGGTTTTTAAATCAATAATTTACATTGAACATTTCTGGAATGAACAACATTGAGAATACACATTGTGATTTAACAGCACTATGTTATGTGCCACATCACACTTAACTTACTGGTAATCTTACAGACTGCTCTGGTACACCAGGGTGGGGCAATAGTTATACTTTTGTGCTGCTACAGAGTCAGAAAGTTGAATTTTATTGTATGATGGTAAACGTATACCCTCAATATAATGCTACACCCTAATATTATTAATAGTAACAGAAAATAGCCCACATGTCACTCTGAATAAGGTAGGCTATTGTGCTATTGCCAGTTATTTTGATGAAAAACATTTAGGCTTTTAAACCACAATAATACTCCTTGCAAAAAAAGTACTGAATATTTTGGTCTGATGAACTACAAAAGCTGGCACATAAATTTAAAAGGATAAATGACTTCAATCTCATGAATTATAATGAGTCATTAACCAATGAGCATTTATTCATGTTCTTATGAAGGGAAGTGCAGGCCAGCAACCCAGAAGGCTAGTCAATTGCTCAGTTGGTGGCTTTTACTCTAATGTCATAGCATGAAACACTTAATTTAGGCCAGCAAGGGCAATAGCCTATATGTAGCAACAAATGCCAAAGTCACACACCTACTGTACAATCAGCAGACCAAGGCCACAGTTTAAATTGCCAGCTAAGTCACATTGTAGTCACACTGGATGACTGAGTGTGTTTCTTGTGACTACCTTATGTGTTTAAAAAACTGAATCAATCATCAATACGATGATCCATGTTATGTACTTTTTTATTCAGTTTTTTTGGTGGATGCTGCTTCTCTCAGTTCCTCCAATGTTTTGAAAAATCATGGTTTTTTAACACTGATTTTAGGAATGACATTCTTAGGGAGAGTGACTATAATAGTGGCTCACAATGATGGTCCCAGAATGTCAATGATACGTCACATCCTGACAAATCAGTTAAGGCTGAAAGACAATTCACTCCGATTACAACACAGCGTTTTCAAAATAATTTCATCACTCTACAGATAGAGACCTTGAACACAAAAAAAGAAAACTAATTATAGCGGGTTAGAGAGATCTGCTCAAATCTTAGCACTAACAGCCCTTTTTTTTCTCACCAGGCAACTCAGGCGCCGCCACGCCACCAGGAACAGAAGAGGCAGTGTACTGCCACATGACACAGCAAACACGCCACCCTCACACAATCTGGCTTAAACCATCCAGCCCCCGGTCTTCCCTTCTGTCTCCTCTGCCAGGAAACAAAGCAAATAGAGAGAGGGAAATCACGCTTCACAAGGAAGTATGCAATGGGTGTGTGTGGATGCAGAATTGGCAATAACAGGCTTTTCTGAGTTGATTCATCAGTGTGACAGTTGGATTAAGAATTATGCAAAGTGGGGAATCACGCAAGGACCTATGACGCACTGTGTCAGTTTGTTTGAGGTAATTTGATTATTCCCCAATTTGTTTGGGCACTTGTAACATGCAAATATCATGAACTTGAGGCTCTGTCTTGTAGAGAGGCGCAGTGTGTCAATTAGACGTGAAATTGACTTGAAATTCACATTCAGCACACTAGACCATCACTGCTGAATGAAAACTGTATTTCCAAATGTAAAAGACAAAAACCCCATAACAAATAAGGATTAAGGAATAAGCTGAGAGTCACACAAGAAGCATAAGCATATCTTAAATATGCTTTTACAAACAGTAGAGATATTTTTTTATATTTTCTTATTACTTTCTTTTGTACTTCTCTACTAATCACTACACAATCACTGCAGAGTCAAGATGCTTTGGCAAGCAGGATTAGACTTTGTCTTTCAGTTGTCTACAAACTTGCAAGCAAAGGCTTTGTTTCTACACTGAATCAGTAGCTGCAAATGACATACTAAAGGTATAAAGAGGTGTAAAGAGAGTGAAAATGCAGAACAGGGCTTTCACATTTCCAGAGACAACTGTGGGCTAATGAGCCAGTGAACAATGAAGACCTTTATGTTAAGATCTTGGGGGGTGGATGTCCCCCTGAAGTGGGCAGCAGCCACTTTGGAAATTAACAACATTAAATTAGATAATCTGGGACATCAAAGCCAGTCTGTCATCTCTGATGTTGCCTAAATCAGGCATCTATTTGCATTAACTAAATATAGATAGAGGTTATCATGTAAGTCTAAGCAAGAAGAGAAAGCCAGAAGTCCTTCGCTTAGATGACTGCCTAGTGCCTATTATCTGTTGCAAAAGGAATGTTTTGCCAGAGAGATCCACATTATCAGTTGATGGAGTAAACACTGACCTTGGGAGGCTAGCAACACCTTGGCCTGGAAAAACAGGCCTATGACGCACAGACAGCTGCTGCCATGCAAGTTACAGCACAGGTGTGCAGGTATGCTTATGAAGCAGGATACAAAAGCACAACACTGACTGTACCCCTAATACAGTGATGGAATGTAAATTTTTGGGGGTGTACATGTCAAAAAAATCTATTTACAAAGCCCAAGATATGACAGTATTACTCAGAAATCAACAGATGTTTTTAAAACAGCAAAGCAATATGTTATGGCAGCATGAATTGCCAATGTGACTGCTATTCAAATAGGACAGATTGTTAACTCGAGGCATTCAAATGAACTATTTGAGCATCTCAAACTCTCTTTTAATACATACTTACCTGTGTAAAAACTTTTTTAAATTGCATGTTTTAAAATGTATTTACAACACATGTAGGGTTTTTTTCTAAAATAGTTATGAAGAAGCTATCTTGTATTATTTAATATTATTTTAAGCACTTTCTCCATATGTACAGTACACCATATTTTTGCTACAGTGAGGTTAGAAAAGTGAAATTTATGAAACTTGTGAGTATAAATAGTGCCAAATACCCATGTCAATTCAACATCTGTTTATCAGTTTTAACCATCTATCTGTGGGGTCAGAAAGGTCAGTGCATCACCAAAGATTCACCCCAGCAACAGCCTGTTTCATTCAGTGAGGCCAGCAAGGGGTGGGGTTGGGGAACCTTACTCCCTACCCAATGATATCATCTTACCTGTAACACTGGGACATTGTCTGTGGTCATCTTACGAGCAACCCACTTTGGAAATCATTTTACAGATATGCTGGCATTTTCACACTTCAGAGGGATGTTCGCGCATTCAGGGTCATGTCTCGCAGCCAGACTGATATGGGGGATTAAAGCCTTAACCGTGTCATGTGTATGAAGAAACCTTTACCTGATGTGTTTTGTTTGTGTTCTCTGTGCGTGAGCTGCCAGAGGCTCAGGTATAACACATTCAGTCCTCAAAGGGTGTTGAGTTTCTACCTGGCAGGGTCTGGCTGGCTTCTTCCAGCTACTGTTACCAGGCTGCTCTCATCACTAATTCATCTCGTCACCCCAAAGATCTGGGTGGCCAGTTGGTTGGTCGGTTAGCCGGTTAAGAGGGGGGAAATACATAGAGTTTCTCTCTTTGCAGAGCAGTGCACCACCAGGATTCCCAGAAGAGGACCATATCTGAGCAGGGGCCCGATGCAGAACGGGGAGGCTATGAGCCCGCAGGACTCCAAGGCAACAGGGGCTGAGGCAATGGAGGAGCAGAAGGCCCAGAACCATAGCCAGAATCAGGGATGTACGGAGCCCACAGCACCTCCTCTTCCTCCTCCTTCACCACCACAACCAGGGGAACCAGAATACCCGAGACCCAGGCTCATCTTCCACACCCAGCTGGCTCACGGGAGTCCCACAGGCCGCATCCACGGATTCACCAACGTGAAGGAGCTGTACGCCAAGATCGCTGAAGTGTTCAACATCTCTCCATCAGAGGTACAAAACAAACCCAACTATGAATGTAAACATGATTAGGCTTATTAGCTCATTATTTCCAGTGGAAAATTATCAAGACAAAAAAATTGTGTTATTCCTTCTTGCTTTTTTTGGTCTGGCAGGCCAGCTGCAAGTAGGTGTTAGGTTTCCATTCTAGGCTTTTTTCCATGATGCACTATTAAAGATCATTTGGCCTCACTACAGTTTGCCAGGCTTTGTACTCGTCTGGGCCTTGATAAGAATCAATAATAGAAACAAATGACCAGATAATGTTGTGTACTCAGTAAACATCACACATATAACACAACAAGCTACAGTAATGGAAGTGACCTCAGAGCAAAATAAAACCAGGTAATAAAAGATTTGCTTTTAAATTTATTTAAATAACACAATATATAATAGGTGCTTAGTTACATAATGCAATTCCAACCTGTTACAGACAATTGCGTAATTCATTGGAAATAATCTGATAGATGATTATCAGCACTAAATCCATCACTGCTTAATTTCAGCTCCAAGGCAAAATGGTCAAATACTCAAGTGAAAACAGCCTTTTTTAAGAGGCACTCCAGTGATTAAGTGTGGAAGTAGCAGGGATAGTCCGTAGTATGGGTGTAGTTGGATCCACCATTTTTCATAATTCAAACATTAGACATTTTTAATTAGACCAAAACTCTGTTTGAAACACAGGCTTTGCTTTATAAGGTGGTAGCATAACAACATTATCGGACTATACGGTTAATTCATAGCACTCTAAGGGATTGAATGTGTGGTTAGGTTACATTAGGCAGCTGCTGGCAAGACCAGAATCCTTGAAAAGAAGCCGAGTTTCTACACCCTCTATAGGTCAGGGCTGGCCAAACCACACTGCGGCCTCTTAATACTGAACACAAGGCTCAAAAGCTTTAGCTTTCACTGAGCATATTCACAAGTGGCATCACATCATTTCATAATTGTTAAAAAATGATGTTTGTTGTCTGTCCAGTTCAATGTCTTACTAAACTGTAGTGGTAGCCCAAAGGTTAAAGAAGCGAGCTTGTGACCGGGAGGTTCAATCCCCGGAGCGGCAGGATAAAATCACCACTGAGGAGCCCTTGAGCAAGGCCCATAACCCCAACAGCTCCAGTGGAGCTGCATAGTTAGCCAGCCAGTTGTACTGGCAGCTTCCAGGTATAGATGTGATCAGGGTCTTCCTGCAAAAGAGAGGCTTCCTCTCAGTGAAGCTCCCCTGAATAAATAAAAAAAGAGTTTAACCTTTTTAAATGATTGTGGGCATGCATGCTGCTGACATTATGGAACTGCACTGCAACAGAGCAATAAATATTGAACATTATCTAATACTTATCAGTAGCCTCACAAAGGCCACTGTGAAGATTTTTCCTATCTGTGTATCAGACCATAAATGAGTAGAGATGAAGGAATATAGGCCAATGTACATTTCATAGGAGCTGACCTTGATGATCTTATCAGGCAACTACCAGCCATGGTTTTGTCAAATGTGTTGGCCTGTTTCCTTAGGTTACACAAGATTGAATTTCTAAATCTTTCAAGTCTATTTTTGGAAGAAAATGTCAACAGATGTTCATTAACACAGGATATCACACCACATTAAATCCATGATCACTTTTATTAATTTTTGATACTACATTTTCACTTTAAACTTTTAACTGACAATCTTACCCTGAATGACTTTCAAGGAGTGCAACAGAGGAATAATTTGATATTCTTAGATTATAGATAGGGCAGCATGGTGCCTAGCTGTTTCCTCACAGAGGTCCTGGGTATCTGCCAGTTGTGTGCAGTCTGAATGGAGTTTATAAAGAAACATGTTTGTCTTCCTATGGTAGCGATGTGGTAGCTTAGCTTAGCTATCCAGGGTATGCTCTGCCCAGTGTGTGCTGGGATAATCTCTAGCGATCCTCATAAAGTAAGCAGTTTAGATAACGGGATAGATCACCATAAATAATAAGCAGCCTTATACTGTAAAATACAATACGACCAATAAATAGTAAGAACAAATCTTTTATATCTTGAGCCTTTTAGGTTTTTGTGTAAGTTGCTTTTTAAACAGTTTATATCTAATGTGTAAAGCAGAAGAATAAACAACCACAAAGTCTTCTTGGGATCTGCTTTGTTGTTAAATCAAGAAATAACCCAATAATTGAATGGTTTTGTTCCAAAATCAAATATTGATTTTTTCATTGTTGATTTAATGACATGCATATCTACAAGACCTTGTACTTCAGTCAGACTTCTAGACACAAGAGTTTCTATAGGAAATACTGGGCAATTATTTGGTGATAGTGAGAAGTGCAGCAGTCTCCTTGACCTCCTGTGGACTGAACAGCTGCAGCAGCAGCATAAAATTGCAGTACAGCTAAATGCCAAAGTAGACCTTTTACCTTTACCATCGCTATGAGCAATATCTAACAGGAACTGCTGCAAGTAAGATGACAGTTCACTCAGGTTATCTTGAATTTTCGTTATGGATTATTAAGTCAAAGTTTAACTCTAACTTCAGGGTTCAGCTTTAGAATTTTAAAAAACAAAGACAATTATATTTCTAAACTATAAATAAACTCTAAAAAGTTGGAAAATAAGAAGGCACATGGCTGACATTAAACGGTGCGATTCAAAGATTTAGCCAGATTTGATTACTTGTAGACATTTTGGAGAAAATGTCTTATTTTTTTGTGTATATTACTATCAGCTAATTACATTATAATTTTGTGTCACACTCTTAATTCAACCACTAACCTTGAAACTCCTAACACAAACAGAGAAATGTCTTTTGTCAGTGTGCTGTGACTGTCACTTTTAGGCTTTAACATTAATCCTGAAATATACAAGGGCTCTTAATGAGTTATCACATTCATGAAAAAATGGCCACAACATAAAAATCGAATTGTTTGGCTTTACTGCCCTCTGCTGTTAAATCTCCATACAGCACAGCTGAACAAAGAAAGAAAATGAAAGAACAGGGAATGCCACAGGTTACCACAGCAACTAGAATCACAAATACTGTATATTGGCAGAACATGATTGTTGTTTTCCAAAACATATTTCATTCATTTATAAAAACTACATTGCTAGGGATGATCAATCCATCTGTCAACAGCTACATCCACAGGAAGTTTTCACCAAAAGCAAATTGAAGTTGAAGTAAATTCTTGGGCACTGTATTTTTTATTAATAGTCAAAATTTTATCTAATCTAACAATGCGATATCAAAGATTTAGAGGGACACATAAAAATGGTAAATGCAATTTTAGAATCAATATGAATATGTTTCTACATAGGTTTACAACAAATGCTCAGAAGTGTGACTAAAAAGAAAACGTAATCATAAACTTGTTTAATACAGTGTGGAAATCATGTCATAAACACTCACATATCCCAATGATAAATAATGTCTTTACAAAACTCATAATGTCACATTTATGTGCTATTGATTCAACTCTGTGGTAACTTTGAAACTGAATTTTGTGGTGTTGTTGTTGTTGGATTACTTTAAGTTGCAGGGTGTAATGTTTCACTTTTGCATGGGTGTTGGTCCATTTCCTCCCCTTAGATCCTGTTTTGCACCCTCAACTCTCATAAAGTGGACATGCAGAAGCTGCTGGGGGGGCAGATTGGACTTGAAGACTTCATCTTTGCTCACGTCAGAGGGGAGACCAAGGAGGTGGAGGTGATAAAGACAGAAGACGCATTGGGCCTTACTATCACAGACAATGGAGCAGGATATGCTTTCATCAAGGTGAACAAGTGGCAGAGTAAAACAGGTTGAAGGACAGATTTCTTATTTGCTATAACTGCAAGTTTTATTGTGGAAAAATAACAAAGCAAGTGAAATAGCTTCTTTCCTAAAACAAATGTTTACTATTTTAAAAGGAAGGACGGTCATCTTAATTTTAGAAGGCTCCAAACTGGAATGTGTTGGACATGTGAAACATTTCAATCCGTTTCTTTCAGAGGATAAAAGAAGGCAGCACCATAGACCAGCTCAAGACAGTATGCGTTGGTGACCACATTGAGGCCATCAATGACCAGAGCATTGTAGGGTGTCGACACTACGAGGTTGCTAAGATGTTAAAAGAGCAAACAAGAGGCATACCTTTCACTCTCCGCCTGGTAGGGCCGAAGAAGGCCTTTGGTGAGTGGAAAATGTTTTTACTGGACTTCAATGTCATGTGCAGATAGATGGGAATTGGGAATTAAACATACACTCCTAAATCATTGGAAAATGATGGTTAAAAGCCAATATAATATTATCTACACACTGCAAGACTTTTCAAGTTGGTTTGACTTGGAAATAGTTCACCTGCTGCCTTAAAAATGCAAGTTAAATATGAGTTAAGATTGCCTTTGTTTCAACTCACAAATTAAAGTTCATAAAGTTAAATAACTACAGTATTTTAGTTGTCTCATCATTGTATTTTTAGTTGACTGAACTTTTCATAACTTGTTTCAACTTCATGCATTGTGTTAAAACAAATTATTATTTAACTTTTTCAATGCAATAAATATATATGCAATAATTCCTTTTACCAGTTTAGCCGACATCCATTTCTGCATTATTCAAAATCACAGTTTCAAGTTAAAACAACTTAACCACATTTATACTACTACAAATACTACAAATTAGTTTCAATTTACATGTATAAAGCCATTGTCAGGTATCCCCTCCACCTGTGGAGTTTACCACAAAAGTATATTTTAGTTAGAATTTGAATACATGACTTATCTGCAGTGTAATTAGTTATGTCCATGCTTCAACTTTGCCATGGTTTAAAAAAGACTTAAAAGACACAGCAAATATTCCCGCACACCTGCCTCTTCCCCCCCAGCTGATAATTTATATACCAAGTTCAATCAACACATGCATATATGACAAAAGTCTCAAATAGTCAACACAATGAATTAAAAAGTTTAACTTTCAAAAATTAAAATAAAGTTCAAAATCCAAAACTTGTCAGAGTTAAAAGGAAGAAGTAAGTGGACATACCTAAATGGAGCTGTAATGATGTACAGTGCAGTTGGGGTTCACCTTGTAGTACATGTCTGCTTTTGGTAGGCAGGTTACTCTGAAACAAGCATTACAGTGGCTTTTATGTTAACACTTAGTTGACACTGGGGCTATGCACCGATACCATTAATACCTTAATACTCAGTAGTCTGTGCACACATTTGGACAATAGAGCATCTATAGCTTTGGAATACTGGACCTTGTAATCACTCGCATTTCACAGTATAAATCCATTCCTAAATTCATTACAGAAAAAAAAATGCCCCCAAGGGATTTTTTTATGATTGAACTGTCCATGTAAGGTGCAGCACTAACAGCTATCCTATAAATCATAAGGCCTGTGTTGTCCACAGTTGCCCCCAGTGGTTGATGGCTTTCAGCGTTCCCCCATACTTTTCCATATCTCATTAGCCAAACAGGAAGTGGTGACAGGAACATTTTAGATATTAGTGGCTACTTACGTACTTAAATTCAGTTTCTGTAATAAGTTTTCATTCTCAATCATGTACAGACAAAATTAAAAAAGCTCTGAGGGATTTTTATCAAATCACAACCACAGGAGAAACTGAGGCTCTTCAGAAAGTGGATACTGAACAGCAACGCATTTCAATATTTTAAGGTTTGTTTTGCATTATAATTCAACTCTAGGCAAAAGTCATGGAGAACAGAAATGAAACAAACATATATTATAGGAGTACAGACACAACCTGGGGAAGCACCCTCCACACACCCATGCGTGCACACACACACCCCCTGTTGTCACTATTTTTGTGGACACACACACACACACACACACACAGACATATGAACTTCTATGAGGACCTTTTTTGACTTTCCCTGCATTCCCTGCAGGCTTGCCATAACCTCACCCATGACTGCTGCATTCCTAACCCCAACATTTAGCCTTTAATCCCAAAACCAAGTCCCAAAAGACAAGCTTACGTGGAACAATTTTTTGTGCACAGATAGGAAGGGAGTCCCTTCAGTCTGACCGTGTGAACAGTATTTAGTCCAATACAATAAAAACACTAACAGAGAGGGAGAGAGAGAGAGAGTGTGTGCTTTCCAGTCACACAACAGTCAGAGCCAAATAAACTGTAAATATTTGATCAAAATGTACTTTTTGTGCTTCTTCTGTTGCTAGAGAACCTGCAACCTTCTTTTGTTGTTAGAGAACCTGGAAGGCAGTTTTCATTTACATTTCAGCCATTTTTCTTTCAGGAATAAAAATGGGTGAACTAATTAACTGGGTTACAGTGACTTGCTGAAAGCCAAGTCCCTCAAAGATAACATGGCTTCTTCCTCTGACTTTTGCTGTATTTATTTATGTTTTGTCTCAAATTACACTAGGAAAAGTGTGGGCGTGGAGGAAGAGAAACACACACACATGATATAGTAACCCTACAAGGAAAACTAGTTCTGTGAAGCTCAAAATCAAGTCCTCAGTTGTGTTGTTTAGCAAACACATAAATGTGTTTAGTGTCTTTCTCTCAGTTGTGTGAGTGTTCTCTAGGGTTTAATATAAACCATGGTTATTTACTTACTCACCACTAAACTTAACTTTTACACTTGCTGCACTACATAATCTTACAGTACAACTAACTAACTGTAAGTCACAATTATAAATGCAGGTATTTGCAACTGGTTCATATAAACTTTAAAATAAAATGATTAACTTCCTCAATTCCAATGATCAGTAGCTTTAGGTCTGATGACACTATTTTACACTATTGAGCTAACATAAAGGTTATATTGATTTCATGTTACATGTGACAAACTGTTACTATCAGTCACAAACATAATTAGCTTGACATCCTACTTATAATGCTGAATAGAGATTTGCATTTTCATGCATGTCATAACAAGACAATGAGATACAGCTAAGCATGCGACTCTGAAGTGCTTTTGAGATAATTGCTGACATCAGCATGCTAACATGCTCACAAGTCTATATGTTTAAAATATATAAAGTCCACCATCTGAGTTTAGCGGGTTAGCATTAGCATGCTAACATTTGCTAATTATCACTAAACACAAAGTACAGCTGGTGGCAAGAAAAATGTCATTATATCCTGATGAGAACAAGAACCAGAATCTGTACCAAATTTCAGGGTGATCCATTCAACAATTTCAACTTTGTGGTGGTGCTAGAAGAAAAGAAAGGGCATCATCAAAGTCAGTGCAATGCATTGTCTGCGAAACATGAAGGTCTGTTCAAAATTCCATTCCTCTCCATGTTTCATTGGACGTCAATTTGGTGAAGCGATTATACAACAGACTGACATTGCCACCCATCGAGCGCACCAGCGTGGCTAAAAAGGGAAATCATAGTGTGATAACATTTTCCTGTAGATTTCAGCAGCTGATTCAAAGCCAGCAACAAGTTATTAGGCTTATCAGTTGGTCAACAGATGAATTGGAAATCCATGGGTCACATTCAAATTCTTCCTTTACTGCAGAGGTGTCAAACTAATTTTCACCAAGGGCCACATAAGCATTATGGTTACCCTCAAAGGGCCAGGTGTAACTGTAAGACTGATTAAACGTAACTACTCCTCCTTATCAGATGTCAAAATATAAGTAACAACATTTCTCTGTTATTATAACTTAAATAAATTATGTATCAGGTTTAGAAACCCTCATTACTCCATGAATCAAAGATTAAACCTTTCATGTAAATAACAAATATCATCAAACATAAGCTTTCACATTTACTTTTCATTTTTTCACAGTTGAGAGGGGCAGAACCATGGTAAAAAAAACTAAAAAAAAAATAATGAGAGATAGTTTGATTACCTGGAAAAATGCCGACGTATAGGCACTGACAAAAGTCATAGGACTAACTTAGCCAACCAGTTTTTCTCCTTGAAGCACAAACATGTAGGCCTATTCACTTTCCCCATGAAATTGCCTTACTTGTGCATAAATTTTTTCCGTCTTGGACATTTTAGGATTGTTTGTATACATTTCTCATTTCCACTTGTTGGAAAACTACCACAGTTAAAGGCTAGTGTTAGTGCTAGTGTGTGGCTCGTCACTTGTGCATTGATGTTGATGAATGCGTGGCATTTGGGCGTTTTGTTTGTTTGCTACGCGGCGGTGGGGGGGAACACTGGTCTATGTTGTATGCGCTCCGTGGTCGGTCTGGGCGCTGCTCTTCCGCGGGTTTCCGTCGGCATTGTGTTGTCAACTGGCATTTGGATGGTCATTTTTTAAATTTTTTTTTATTTTTATCGGTCCAAGCCCCTATTGTTTTCGCTCAGATTTTTATTATTATTTTTTTTCTTTCGTACATAAAACGCATAAACTGCGGCCTAGACGGTAAGTGCTAGGGACTTCAAACTCACAAGGTAGATTTACAGCCCCAAGAGTAACTCAGGCGCAAAAATTCGCACACTTCTACCTCTAGGGGGCGCTATAACAACTTGTTTTGCCGTTTGGCCTTGTAACTCCCACATACGAACGCGTATATTCAACCTTATATCCACGCGTTCGTGGGATCAAGATGAATCTAATGGTATAGGCCACACCCATTTCCGCCTAAACTTTTTTTCGCTACATTGCAAAAACTGAAAAACCTCAGTAACTCCTCCGAAGCCGCAAGTCCGATTGACACCGATTGGCACGGATTATCTCTGGACCGAGCTGATTTGTAGAGGAAATTTTGATCCGACAAAAAATGGCGCAATTATATGCTAACAAATGTTTGCAAAAAATGCTAAAAACAGGAAGTGATGTCATATCTCAGGTTAGGAATGGCCAATCAACACCAAACTTGGGGACCTTATGTGGCACGACTTGTGTCAATTTGGTTCAATTCTTCCCCATGCGCCCCTGATCACACCTCAAATTGGTACAATTCCGCTTACAGGTGGCGCTAAAATCAAAACTCAACTCTCTAAGTCAATCCCACGTATTCCAATGGAATTTTCAAACGCAGCACATTTTGCCTCGGTTTCCAATGTCCGATCAACACCCAACTTGGGGACCTTATGCGGTATGCCAGCGGGGTGCCCGGGCCTACTCGCGCGCCCTCCACGGGCCCAGGAGGGCGGCTTGCGCCGGGAGGCTTGGACCCCGCTTATAACTGCTTGCAGTTCTAATTATTTTTATTTTTATTTATTTATTTTTGGGGGAGTCTGTTGGTTGGGTCGGGATGTTCCACGTTTGCATTGCGGTGCATCTGGGAGTCTTTTTTTTTTTTTTGATTTATTTATTATTTTTTTCTTTCTCCCACCCCTATTGGCTACTGGGGTTCTTGCCTGCCTGTTGCTGGGGTAGGTGTGGCACAGTCGTGGCGTCCCACTCTCACTAACAACTACATTCTTTAACAGGCTTATTAGCACACACATTCACACACACACACACACACACACACACACACACACACACACACGCACACAGACACACACAGTCTCACACATAGACACAAACAAATTTAGGTTGTCCCTGGTAGAATTATTCTTGATGCTTTTCTTTCAGTTACTTATTTAAATTAATTGTTATTATTCCAGCTCTCGTGGCTGTGCTGTGTTGCTTGTTTAGTGTGCATTTCTTGTTTTCATTTTTTTCTTAGTTGTCTTACTATGTCAGCTGTTTATTGCTGCTGTTCGGCTGGTTGTCTTTTACACTATTATTATTATTTTTATTGTTTGTTTTTGTTTGTTTGTTTGTTGTTTTTCTCCTCCCCAAGCCCCCCTCTCTGTTCTATTGCAGGTTTCGTTGCTTTCTGCAATTGGTGTTTCCCTCTGCTATTCCCTGTTGTCCCCACCTTCCATCCCCCTTCTCTTACAGGTGTTGTACTTTCTCTGTGTTGTCTGTTTGTGCCCCCCCATCCCCATGTCTGCCCCCCTGTCCGGCCCGGTGACAAATCAATACATAATTAAATAAATAATAAAACAGACAAACGAGTATATTAATACTCTCTTATTAATACTCTTGTTAAAGTAAAATCTGTCTGGCACAATATGGTATCCAGCTCATCATACTCCATACCAGGCTGCTGGGCAGGACAGGTTTTAAAATAAATAAATAAATAAATAAGAACTGCAGCCTGGTCTGCTGGCAACTGTGCAGCTCTGCTGGAGCAGTTGGGGTTATGGGCCTTGCTCAAGGACACCTCAGTGGTGGTAAATGAGGGAGGGGGTTTGTGTATTTTTACCACATACTGTTGTGTCTGTTATTTATTTCACCCGTTATGTTTTGCTAATAAAGTACAACAAATCTCAGTTACTATTAAAGAAGCTGAATATATAGATATATTTAGTTTAATGGTATAGATTTCAAATACAATTGAAATTGTACATCTCAATCCAGTATTTAAAAGACACCCTAAAGCTGTATCAAGATATTATTTTCAAGCCTCTAGACAGATGGTCTGCACAGAGAAAGTGGCACTGTAGGTACTCAAGGAAAAAACTTTTTCACTGTATGTGGTGGGTGAGCAGCTCTAATTGGAATAAATGGGGCAACCCTGTTTGAATAAAAAACAAAAAAACAAAAAATAGGCTAGTGTGGAAACACCACTATCTAGTGGCGGGATGTCGTCACTTCGCAGAACATAAAATTGGGATGCATTGTGGGAGATGTAGTTTATGGTTCATGTACACTTTAAAGTAGCATAAACTTTTATTGGCTGGATTCGGCCCGCAGACCTTGAGTTTGACACATGTACTTTACTGGAACTTCAGAAACATGGTAATAACACTGACATGACTGGCTTAACACGGGTCTTTCTGTTTCATCATACACCAAGCATTACTTATTCAAACAAAATTTCATGTTGTAAAACTAGCAACAGTAGTGGTTTGTCCTCAGGTAAACTGAGGATGAGTAACAGTCTGTCCAGTTAAAAATAATTTAATGGTTTGTCATTTGTGAGACAAAAACTACACATCAGAACAAGGGAATGTGAAATATGGTGTGTTACAAGTCTTTACATGGAAAAATATACCGCATCAGAAGTTTTGGTTTCTGGTAGTACAGCAGTTTCTTGGGAAATGATAGAAGAATGTGGTAGTTAGCAGTGGGAACCACACAGGAAACAGTTCCACCAACTCAATCTCACACATGTGCTTTAGGAAGTTACAATATGATGCTGTACTTTTAGCTTGACATTAGCTCCAAACTACTGGATGACAGAAATTTGTTTGGCATGTTTGCATGACAAAATGACATCGATGTCCCTGGCTGAACTTATCCTCTCCCTAGGCTCAACTTACCCCTCATTAGGGGTCATATTTTGAAAACTGTTTATTTTAGTTCCAAAGTAATTATTCCCAGGGATGCACAACATCCTGAAATATATGTGCACATTTTAGATGGCGACTGTACTTTCATTTCCTCACTTTAAAGACTTCTCAAGTAAAAACGGGCTCAACTCAACCCGCTCTCCCCAGATGACCACAGGGCCAAACAGCGCTGTGTAAAAAACACCATGTCACAGCTATATAAATAAATATCCCACAAATCCTTAATTTGATTCATGGTTATCATCCTGTTTGCGTGTGTGCTGTTAGATATGATTGGAATGAGGACCAGAGCTCCAAAATCTAATGAAGGAAAGATGGTGAACGGGAAGGAGACCCTGCGTCTTCGCTCCAAGGGTGCTGCTACAGTTCAGGAAGTGGTGAGTGTCACACGATCCGCTGGACAATGACTGCTAAACTTCCTGATGACCTGAACTGAACAACCCCATTTGCCTCCAGTCACACAAATATAGCAAGCACACAGTCGTATAATATCAGTTACTGCGTATGGAACAATTTCTCTCAGCTTTGCCGGAAGGGACTTTTGTGATTAAAATCTTACACTTGTCCACAAACCATGACTATTGGAGAAAGTTTGGAGGCTGAAAAGGTTCACAAGTTTTCAAGAAGCAACAAATGTATAACACTTGACAAGCAAATAGTTAACACCTACAAGCAATACTTGATGTCATCATCTATAAACTCTGATATATTGTTTAACATTATGACGAGATGTAAACAATAGCCCAAGAAATTCGTGGCATGTTTTGTTTTGGCATGAGAAGATATGCTCTCAGAGTTTGTATCAGTATGAACTCCACTAAATTACATCTCTGTATTTTGCTGTCTGCTCTGCCAGCAGAATGAGTTTGAAGAACGGGCCACCAAGAAAGTGGATGACCTGTTAGAGAGCTACATGGGCATCAGAGATCTGGAGCTGGGTAAGACCACCCACATTAACACTTGTGTCCTTAAAAATAGACTCTTAATTACCCTTCAGTCCACCTTTGGGTGTAAGCAAGTGACTTACACTTCTTAACAAAAACCTAGGAGTCAGTGGTGTGTAATGTGCGTTGTAATAGACTGATAAACTGTCCGCTGTCACAGCCTCTCTGGCATGCTGGGATAGGCAATCCCACTTCAATGCTTGGACGGATTCATGGAAAATGTCGTAGTTGGTGCAAGCAGGGGATAGGACCCAAATATGGAGGACTGAGGCAGAGCAGATGCACTTCAGAGATTTAGTGACTCAAAATGGAGTTACAACATTTACAAGATGGTAAGGAAGGTAAATCCAAAATCCAATAAACAGACAAAAGGGTCAAAACACGCTGGTTAAAGCCAGGTTTAAGTTCAACATAAACCAAAGGCTTGACAACAGCAGAGACAGAGAGCAATGCAGAGGCTGGGGATGAGAAAGTGTGGTTGGGGAGACTAACTGAGGAGCAAACTGTGACAGAAAATTCAGCCTCAAATTTCATGATGATGAAGTGTGCCTCCAGAGAGATCATGTATGTGAGTATCAGTCTCTATGTAACATAGACCTTTCTGACCTTTAAATAGAGTTCAGCTGGTGAGTTCTTGCATTTTTGAGAATGCCTTCTGACAACCCTGAGAAAATATGCGTCTTTAGGATTCAGTGCTTTGCACTGGAGGAAGCAATAATTAGCAGTTCAACGAAAATATTTCTATTCGTGGTAAGTTTAGCAGCTTTTTCATAGTCTCCCTCTTCCTCTGTGGATCAAGTTTGCTTTTTTGTAAGTTTTCATGGAGATTTTTTGAACTGAAACCATGTGCGTAGATAGACCATAAAAAGTGGACCTTGAGTTTTTTTGTCAAGTTTAAGAATAAACTTTTATATTCTAACAATAGTGTAAGATGGGCTATTGTATTCCTCCTTACTGAATAGGCTATCGCAACTGAAAAATTAAAAAGAACTATAGTTTAATGTGTTGTCTGCACAGAAGACAGGCTTCTCTATGCTGAATGTCCTTGGAAGAATCAGGAATTTCAGTTGGACACGTACTTAACATTGTGATATTGAGCCAATGCCCTTTCCCAGACTTCCCAGGGCAATGGCCAGACAATGATAAATCTGAATGACCAATCATTTTTAGAAAAATGGTGAAAAAATTACTTGAAAAATATTCAGTCATCCATTCTCTGTCAGTGTTTCCCATACATAAGTTTTACTTAGGTGTCCCACTAAATTATGTTAATGCCTGTCTAAGAATATTTGGACCCATATTAACAATGGCAGGAATTCATAAAAGCAATTTGATATTATCAAGACTGCTCCTGAATCCCCAGACCCATCCAACAGAACAGCCAGTGTTTTTTCATGGTCTGCTTTTGTTAAAATAAACAGAAAAGCAATGCGAGTGTGAGAAAACTCAGATAAACAGGTTTGCACTGTGTGTTGTAGCAACATTTGGATTAAAAATAAAACCTTAAAGGGTAATTTCTGTATTTTTCCCCCATGGATTCTATTTTCCCATGTTTTTGTGTCTATGTCAGAAATGGGGACAAAATTTCTTAAAATTGGCCCAGTATTGCGTGAGCGCTCTGCAGTCGGCTGCAGCAAAAACAGGGCAACAATGTAATCCTTGAGGGCAATTGCATGGCCAAAGTCTGTACACTGAAGTGCTTGTTTTTGCCTACTGACAGGCTCAGATGTGTCTCACAACATTATGTAAAGGATCCCTACAGATAGAAGAGTCACAAGGTCCTTTTTGTTTACTGCTCTGTTCAAAGCCACTAGACACTAGACACTAGTAATTTCCCCTCGCAGAACACAGGAGTTGCTGGTTTACCCTACCTCGTGCGATGTTGGTGTTTTTGTTTGTCTGTGTTATTGTTATTGACTTTTAAAGGGTTAAAAACACCAAAAGCACACAATCACACAAACAAAAACATGACTGAGGCAGCGGTAGACCAGAGAGGTTAAATTACAATACAGTCTGTGTAGCCAGTCAGTGTCAAAACATTTTAGTAGATGTACTTTGACAGTACGCAATTGCCAACAAGAATTACATTGCAGCCCTGTTTAGCTGCTGCTGACTGCCGCACCCTCTCGCAGTACTAGCCCAATTTTTTTTTTAAATGTTGTAGTCACTTAGACACAAAAACATGGGAAAATAGGTTGAAAAATCCAGAATTTATCCTATAAAAGGGGATATTTTTGAATAACCAGTTTTATGAATTTTTGGTTTTGGCTTTGGCTGCTGAGAAAGCCAACAGCCCCTGAAATTATTCAAATCAGTCCCATCCCATCTTTTCTGCAGCAACCACCATCGTGGAAGCAGGCAAAGACAAGAAGAACCCTGATGACTTTGCAGAGGCCTTGGACTCAGTTCTGGGAGATTTTGCTTTCCCTGATGTATTTTTGTTTGATGTATGGGGAGCTATTGGAGATGTCAAGAATGGTAGAATTTAGACATTTACCATAGCTAAACACAACAGCAAGAGAGAAAGAGCTCTGTTTATTGGTACATCAAAGTGGAACAAAAACAGCCATTTTAATCACTTCCTTTAAAATCAAGACAGAGACTGCAATTAATTCAAAAATTTCCCTTTGAACATTTAAAGCAGATCATCACTCCCAAATTTGGACAAATCTCTACAACAAACAGAGAACAGAAAATTGCAGTCGAGTTTAATATATATATATTTGTATTGAAATCAAAGATTGAAATGAACCTTTACTGTAGGCATTTAGCTGGGGATATTGTTCAGGGTGGACAACAGTGACAGTAAAATTAGATGGTTCATCAAAATACAGGAATCTCCCCATTTTGATAAAAGGGGCTCTCTCTCCATACAATAAGAAAATTATGTAAAGGGTATTTAAACAACATGTCAGGAAACACAGCTGCAAAACAGACACTCATCCAGCCATCTAGGAATCAAGGAAGTTAGATAAGCCGCAGTAAACCATTTTCCTCTGATGAAAACCCACTGGGAATAACAGCAGAGGAACAAGGAGACATTTTTGGGTCATCCCAAACTGTATTAGTCTACTTCTTCAATACCAATAACCTATACAAGCCAGAGATGCATGATAAGTTGTTCATGTTTGAAAGTAGGTTGTCACTATATTTCTATAGAATTTGTTGACCTTTTCTGAAATAACCAAGTGCTCCAAGTTCAATTAAAATAATTGCCAGTATTTATTTATTTATTTCTCAGTCATCTAAGTAAGTTATTCATCTGAACTTGAACTGTCAAAAATTGAAAATGAAAACGGAGAAATCTGACAATGAACGTCAAGGAGATGGGCTAAATGGCACTGCCTTGCGATTCACATTTTACCACATGATCATTACTGTCAAACAGGAAGCAAGCCTAGAACTTCTCACGAAAACAAAATAACCAAATAAATAAAACTATCTTGTGTGCATGTGAACCATTTCCTTGAAGTTTTCTGCATTAATTTTGCCTTAAAAATGAAGGTCTTCATGCTCACTAATATTAAAATTCCCACTTTACTGGAAACTTTCTGGTTTGTATCAAAGAGATAATGTAAATATACTGGATCAGTTTGTTGCAGTCTTTATACTTCAGTACATCTGTTCTTATTTCCAATGTGCTGCTTTCTCTTTCTGTCTCTGCATTGGAGAGTATTTACTTTAAAAGAAGGAACCATCAAACTACATATTGGAGTTTGACAGTTATATGTTTTCTGGATCACCAAACAATGTGGACAATTTATAAAGTCATATTCTTTGCATACATGTGAGCAAGCAAACACTGAACAGCCACATTTTAAAATACAGATTGACACCGCTTCACTTATTGTGATTACACTGTTTCAGCTACTGCTATCAGTATTTGTCTGATGTTTTGTTGTAACACTTTGTATATGACTGCACCTCTTTGTGAAGACCTGAAAATGTATGGCACATTTCATATGTTTAAAAGTAAGTAAAAAGGTTGAAATGATAGTTTTCAAGCATTTTTGTGTTTAACAGAAAAGCCCATTTAAAATATTTCTTTTTTTCTGCATTTTACTAATTCTTCTATTTATATACGCAATCACATACCATTTCTGTCAATCACATTCAACATTTACACTTAATTTTCACTTGATAATACTGCTAAGGAGTTAAAACAAGACACAGCTAAGTCATTATGAGTGATTAGTTCAGTGATTTGTTGGGTAATTGAGTGACACTCTGAGTGAAAATCAACAAATTATATGCAAGGTCAATGTGAAGAGCTGGGTGAGTAATCAAGTAGAGCAAGATGACTGTTTCAATGTTATATTTTATTTTATAATACTATAATACAATGCTATCTACAATGCTTGTAACTACACTGCCCAAATTGTCAGACGGAATTTGAATTATCCAACTACTAAAATATCCACCCACTTCCTGCTCAATGTTTTCATAAACAACTTATTGGCTGACAGCAACAGACAGAGGCAGAGATGCCCTATAAATATTATGTCGGTCTGAGCTCGTTGGCAAGGCTAATTCTAATTCCAATTCCAATTGTGGAAACCATGAATTGTTTTGAATTTTTCTACCACTTGAGCAACTCTGTGTCTAAGAAATATTTGCATAGGTATTATTCTGCAAATCTAAAACCGATGTAGGCACGCACATGTAGTTATACCTTCATACCAGAAATACTGGACTTCAGTACTGTTTGGCTTCCCCAGAAATTACCTTGGTTCACAGAAAAGTAAAACAACTGAGAAAGGCTCCACTTAACATTCTTCAGCACTTACATCTTTTCTCACTAAGACATGTTTCAGTTGAATGTTTTAAATATAATTTTTCATTTGTTTGAGCAACACAAATGAATTTCCTTTCACCTTCAATGTAGTAACCTCAGAGGTTAATGTCTCAAAACCTGGCAATTAAAACCAAATGCTGTCTTCATGACATCAATAGTGTTAGGTGAGAAAACATTTGTTCTTGGATGTAGGTGATCTGACAGTTTAAGATGGGAGGGTTTAAAATGAATAGAGCCAAATCCCACCAGTGATATATATTGGTAACATTACTTATCAAGTAATATATTACTATAATAATTTGATTTATTGATATAACACTGTTAACGATAGTGGGCAACTTAAATCTTCATTAGACAATAATTACACTTTCTCAGTTTTTTACATCAGTAATACTGAACAGCTAATGTGAAGCATTGTTTGTATATAGCAGCTAGGGATTTCTAACTATAAACATTCTCACATTCTCATTGGCATCAACTTTATTTTGAAATTATGAGGACTAAACCAGATGATCCCATTCATGGATTACTGATCATGTCAAGGTCTGGTTTGATTCACATGCATCCTCACAACATTTAACACATAGAAAATATATACGTAATATTTTATAAACTCTTGAAATGGACATTGTATAATCAGCTTCTGTACGTGGGCAGTCTCTACAATATTTCATGATAGTCAAAGCATTATCACTTGTCAGCACCTCTACAAGATTAGAATCCGGCAGTGTTAGATGCTCTGTGGAATCAAACATTTACGTACCTTCTACATTCAAAGTCTTCTCCAGATTCAGAGTAAATACTTAAGAAAGGAAGGAATACATGAACAATACTTAGCATTAGCCTGAAAACATAAATGGGTATAATGTGACACTGAGCATCTGAGAAAAATGTAGATGTGATTATGAGGCATAATACCTACCAGAATGAAGTATCAAATTAAAACAATTGACTGCCATTATCCGATGCAATGTGTTGATAACTCAAATATAAATAAATGAAGGCACTTGATGGGGCAGTACATCTAGAGCAGTGCATGTTGATAGCATTACATCTGTTTAGCAGACTAAAGTCTTATGTATATTGGTTAAAGATACTATATTTTATCCATAGATTACACGTCTGATCCTTAGTAAATGTTCAGTCAGCACCTGCTCTCTTTATGCTTTGTTCTAAAGGAAAGTGCCCTTGCTAATACCTCTAAACATTTTAATAGTATGTAATAAAATAACAATATTCAGTCCTTTCAGATACAATCCTGCTTCTTATCCTGCTCACACAGTTAAAATGAAAACTCATCAGAACCTGAAAATACAAACATACTATAACCCCAATGATGTCATTGTGGCAACAACTCAAAACCAACCAGTCACGGAGAAGGAGGTGGTGGCTTTAAATAGATGTGGCCAATACATTTGATTTTTCATTGTCTGTTCCTTCATCTGAGCCCACGGTGTTCCCAATTGAAGGGCGTGTGAACCTGCGGATAGTGCCGCTAATAGAAGGGTACAAGGTCATCATGGAGCCTCGGGACCAGTCGAGACGGGGGTAGATTCTCTTAAGAACTGACCTGCGGAACAAGATGTATACCCAGGGATCCAGGATCTGGTTCCAGGTGGCAAAGCGGAGCCATAGTAGTAGGTATTTCACCTGGAGAGGACTTCTGGACAGCACAGTTTGTGCAATAAAGACCTGGTGGTGGAGGGATGGAAGTGGGGATATGGATAGTGACAGACAGATGAAGGAAAGAAGAAGCAAACAGAGGAAAAATGATGGAGGAAAGGAGTTGGGGAGGGATGACATGAGATGAGATAAACGAGGAGGTGTAAAGAGAGGAAGTCAAATAGTTTCAGGGGAAGACACAAATTAAAACAGACAGAGAGGGAAAAGGTTGGTTAATATTACAAATGAACAGAGATCCACATGTATATGTTAAGTCTACAGAGGGAATTGCTTGGCTTTTGTCACAACCCTGAGGCAGTGGCTGTTGCTGCACATTTATCCCCCCTCCTTCAGTTAAGCTACATCATTTTATATGAGGCATAGGCTTATTAACAGTGGCCCTATAGTCTCTTTTGGGAGCAAACATGTTAACAAGCTCCTTTAGGAATCACAAAATGACTTATTGTTGTGCCTGTTCCAAATTCAACTGGTACCAAAAAAACTGTTCTTCTATGGTTTACAAGCAAGGAAAGGAAACCTCTACCTTCATCCACTTCATAGTGTTATAAAATAGTTGCATGCAAGTGTTCAGATGAAGTGCAAATCACAGTTTTAGTTAGGCAAATGTTTCTCTGAGGCAGAGGTACTCCAGAGACTGAAATAGCCAAAGATTCCGTTTTCTAGGGTGCATTTAACGTAGATAAGTTCAAGTTTTGGGACCAGTTTGATTACTGAGCCTGAACAAATTACTTGATGTTTAACTGTTATCTGTAAAAGTCTGTTCTGCAGCTCTGCTTCAAAGAAAGAGAGTACCTAAATAAAACTACAGTACAATCTGCAATTGTTAAGCTATCATGGTTTTTATGAGAAACCATCTGTGTTAGTTTCGGGGAATGAAAACAGGCACGAAGGCAATAAACAAACATGACAAAGGGTTGAAACTATGTAAGTGAAATATTTATTGACTTACTAGGAATGGAATGAAGTGAACACAGCAGCAGTAAAACCAAGATGGGACACTGGCTATACTATGAAGCATGCTCTATAGATGTATAAAAGAAGTGGACGTAACCTTGAAAGTGAAGCCAACGTGGAAGTGCCTTAAACCTGCATTATTTCTAGCTTAAGTCATCAGCATTTGCCTTAGGTAGAAACCCTTGCTCTCCCGCAGCTCCATCCCTCTAGTCCACCCTTGTCCAAATATTTATCAACTTGGCGAAAATTCAAAACTTGAGGCTTCAAAACAGTAGTCCACAAACCAATAGGTGATGTCACCTTGGGTTAGTCCACTACTTTTATACAGTCTACTACGTGCTCCCAATGACATTTTGTAGTTATGGGTAATGGTGTGGAAGCTGCAAGGCAAGGAGTAAACTGTGATGTACGAATGAGTCTATCCATGAGTTTCCTCGGCAGATGTTTAGGACATGCTGAGGTAGCCGGCCAATCATAGTCTAAAGTTATGATGGGGGTGAGCAGTTACTATGGGGAAGCTGTGTTATTCTTACAACTTTTAGATTTTTTTTGTCTTTTTACTCGCCTTAGTTGGGAAACTTGAAACATGATGTATATCCATGGGTCAAATATCTGATTGCAGGTGGCCATTCGTATGTAGAACAAAACAATTTCATTTCTTGGATCGTCGGCCACTCTAGGATCGGCAGGTACTCTTACAGGATTGGCAGTCGCGCTCTTCAGAATATGTATCTGTGCAGGGTGTCATACAACTGAGGTTAGACAGGACATGTCAGGTTACTTTGACCCTTCTATTCCTTACTCTGATGTGTGCACTTTAAAGTTTAGAATGTTTAGAATTGACGTTCTGTCTCTGTCAACTCCAAGAGGTAGTATTAAAACTGACAGTGTGGTAGATTGCAATGCATGCTGGGCTGAATGCAACAAGACTCTACAAGTTTTCATCATGATTGTCTCAATTTATATATAGGCATTCTGCCCCTGTCAATCAGTTTTTGTTTAAGACACAATGGAAGGAGGGAGTATGTTTACAATAGACAGTAAGGTTGTAATCGTATCATCAATTTAGTTTTCTTTACAAAATTAAAATAAAACTAACCTGGTGTAGGTTTTCAACCTATAGCCTATGGTCGTTTGACAGCTTGTGTTTGTCACCCTATTGGACCTATTTTCAAGTGATTTGCCATATTATTTGCAATGACATTGATGAGTGCTATGTTATAACCGAGTTTTCCTTTGAAGACACTGATTTCACCCATGCCCTAAAGCTAAAATGTGATGATTAAAGGGCTCTTTGATGCAACGGAAGACTAGAAGGTTTTCAGATCTACTAATAAGGACTCTGCATTTCTAAGGAGAAATGAAGCGCATGGAGGGGAAGCAGAGAAAAAGAGCTTATAACAACAAGAGCTGGATAGATATGGTCCAGGGTTGGTGCGTCCATAGGTTGGTGGACACCATTACTCAAAGTGTTTTGCAATATCATGACTGAACATTTTTCTTTTTTTTTAACTTCCCATCAACCACCTTACAGTATAGGTGATGGTGTGAAGTTTAGTCTATCAGGTCACACATTTTTAGAGGTTTTTCAACTCTGTAGTTAACAAATTAGAATCAAAATCTGTGTGATAACAAAACACATGACAGAATTGTGTTTTGTGGATAGCTTTCTGGTGGACAAATGTATTCAAAGCAATTCATAATCAATTATTAACAATGTGCGAAATGTAGATACACACAAACATCGAGTGGTCAGATAGACCCCTCCCGGGTCTTGTCTCCACACAACACACACTGTCACATACCACATAGTTAGAGGCCCAGACCCATTCACATAAGTTGAAACAGGGCCAGATACCTTCATACCAGATACATAAGTACATAGTACTGTATATGAAAGTAAATTAATCTTGCTGCTTCATAATATCCTGCTATTCCCACTATGCTATCTCAGTGTTTTTGTGTGAGAAGGACATACAGGAGACGGAAACGATATGAAATATGCATCCCAGGCTAGCCAACCATTTTGACATTCCTGCCCCTTTCAATGATGACCCTAAACAAACAAATCCATGCACACATCGTTTAAACTGAGCATACTCACCAGGAGGGGGCACCAACAGATAGAAGCAATGGCCATAATGAGGATGAGCTGAACCATCATCTCTACTTCATGGTCTCTGCGACGCTGGAGGCTGCCCTGTCCACAGCACACCTTGATCAGGGTCACGACGCTCACTGTGTTCAGCAAAAATGACACAGCGATGCACATCAACCCGACCAGAGAGAAGAGCAGGGAGAAGGCCTGGTCATTTCCCTCAGAGCTAATGTTGAAAAAACACCATGAGCCGGGCACCTGCATGTGGTAGCTTCCAATGCCTGTTAGAGGAAGCAAAGCTATGCAGCCTGCGATCAACCACACCATCAGCACCATGGAGACGGTCCGGCTCTTGGGCATGCCACTGGAAAAGCGTGCAAATGGACGGTTGATGCCAATGAAGCGCTCCACCGCCATGGCAGCGCCAAGCAGCAGAGGGCACAGTCCATAGAAAACCATAGACATGCCCATGAAGTTGCAGAAGTGGCAGTATGGATCTACCTTGCGCCAATTAAATTGCGTAACATGGAAGGAGATCACAATGGAGCCTGTGACCAGAAGACCCATGAAATCAGTGACCACCAGGCCACCCAAGAAGATCAGGAAGGAGCGTGAGCGGCTATGTGTCTGCTGGAAGGACTTGAGGAGAACCACAAAGGCAATGAGATTGGAGGTTAGACCCAAAGTGCCGAAGATGGATGAGTAGTAGGCAGAGGCGATACTCTGGTTGATAACAAATGGAGGGCTTCTGATGGAGTAGCACAGCGGAGTGCTGTTGAGTGGCAGGGCTGAGGCATTCATGGTGGCCAGCTGGTGAGGGGTCGTTGATTTCAGATGACTAAGAGATGGAAAGACAATACCGGTGTGAGGAATTTAATTTATCTCTTCAACCTCAAAAGGAAGGAGAAAAAAGTTAAATTTCAAGACATTGCCTTGCAGCAAGGTAGAATTAAATATTTTAAAAAAGCATTAAAACATACAACACAAATTAAATGAGCAAAGGGGAAAAAAACAGCATTGGACTGGTTTTTCAGCACGTCTATGTTTACTCTTGTAGAGACAGTGCTAAATGGTGCTTAACCAACTATTTAGTCAAGTGAGTATGTTGCAAAACTGCTGATGCTGAAAATTGTTTTTTATTCACTCGTCCATTTTCTTTAAATGCTTATTCCTATTTAGAGTCATAGATGCTGGGATGAAGCCTATTCTAGCATGCACTGGCCAAAAATGAAAGGAAACCTTTATAGAATGGCAGATCATCACAGTCTGTAGATTTGAATTGATTATTTCTATTGGTTATAATAACACTGTATTCAAATATTTGCTGAGATCTGGGAACATGGCTATGTATATATTTTGCTACAGTGTTTGACAATTTAAGAAACAGGAGTTGGTCAGATGATTATAACAGATGTAAACAAGCCAGCACTGTAGCCAGATATGGAGGTAAAACTGAAAGTGAGTACACACACATAATGTTGGTGACAGTTCCTCATTGTACAGGAAAACTGTGCATGCACGACTGCATAAAGTCAAATTTGAACCAGGAAACTGGGCTGTAAACTATGATGAAATGTTACATGTTAATTATTTCACTGTTTTCCTTCATTTTCTCTTTCTGACCAGGAGGTTGTCTGACTGCTCTTGCTGTTTGTAGCAATGCTTCCAGATCTCAGCAATTTACTTGGTAGGTACAATATCAATGTTACCAATAAGAATGATCACTAAAACTACAAAAAAAAAAAATTTAAAAACTAAAACATGTGTTTTGATCTAAAGCATCTTGGAGTACAGTGAGTGCATTTTTAGGATGGTCATATAAACCATATAAAGCCAATGTGACAGCTCAGTTACAGCACATACGTAACACTCTCATAAAACACATGCAGACAACTACAGCATGGGGCAGAGATGGAGAGAGTAACACAGGGACTGAAATAGACAGAGGAGAGCTGGCATATCCTGGCAGGAAATGCAGCTATGACACTACTGACAGAGACACTAACAGGAAATAAACATATCTTGTTAAAGTCAGTTTGTGATGTTGTCCCTAGGGGTCTGTCCCCAATAGTCAGTTAGGCTGGATAGTCAAGTGAAATCAAATATGGAAAATAAACATCATCAGTTTCCTTAAAATAAATATTTGTTTTATGGCATGCCAAATGGCTATTGGTCTCATCCTTGAACCTTTCATGCATGAATTATTAAAAACATTATCTAGATTTTTAAAAATTGTTTTACGCTAAAATTCAAGCCATTCACATTTTTTTCAAAATTCTGTTCTATTTTTTAAAATTATTTAACTGTCCACGTATGTGGACACCATGCAACAAAAGAATAAAATATCACACCTGACAATATGGAATTTTGTCGTGCTATGCTATGTATTTAAGCTCAATGGTTGAAAATTAACAATAAAACACATATTTTAGGAGCAAATGGAGGAATCAATAGCATAATCAACACTGTCCTCAAATGACTTGGAAAACATAACCATCATATAGTAACCCAAAATTGAGTTAAAATTACTGTGCACAAATGTGGACACCATGCATGAAAGGGTTTTAAATAAGATTAATGAATAAACAGGAAATATAAAATTGTTATCGCTCAAAAATGAACCTTATTCAAATAAATCCCTATAACACAATGTATACTGATGTTACCTGCATTTATCAACTATGTCTTTCCTCATTATTTATCACACACATTCTGTAAGACACTTTTTTCATCACTACAATTATAGCTGTGTGGAGCAACACAGCAAATAACACTGATCACATCAAAATGTTGGGTTATTTTTGTCTGCATCCTGTTATCAGCGTACAGAGGGTGTAAAGACAGTATACTCTAGGTGTTATGTCCATGTAGGTGTAATGTTGAGATATGATAAAACTTAAAGGAAGAAGAAGATTTGAAGATAAATATATTCAGTTTCTATTGAAGAGGTGGTATTATGCTCTTTTTCAGGTTCAAAATCCTATTTAGGGGTTGTACCAGAACAGGTTTACATGGTTTAATTTTACAAAAACAACATTTTATTTTCATACTGCACATTACTGCAGCTCCTCTTTTCACCCTGTGTTGAAGGCTTCGTTTTAGCTATGGAGTCTCTAAATGATCTTTGTTGGGAGGTGCGCAGTTCCTAGTTAAGGACTACTAGCCAATCAGAAGCAGAGAAGGGCGGGTCAGCGAGAAGCCGGTAAACAGCTTTCATTCAGCTGTAGGCTACATGTTGCTGACCACCTTGGCAACATGGACTGGAGCAAGAGTTTCAGAGTAGTGAGTTATTAATCTGTAACAAAATATGTCCATTGTCCATTGACTGCCTGGAGGGTAACTAGTCTTTGGAAGGGAGAGGAGAGGTGTGTGCTGCAGCTCAGTGTTTTTGAGGGCGTGTCGGAGTAGCCGCTTGGTGAGCATTATATAAGACACATTTACCTTTCATCCCTGTGACGACACAGGGATGAAAGGTAAATGAAATATAAGATAAATGCCTCTGCAGTATTGTCCTACATATAGACATTTTTGTCACTTGTCCAAGCATTTTTCTGTAGTCTATTGTTTCTACATATACTTTAACCCAGAACAATGCACACAGGACTGCACAGGATATTAAACAGTGAGGCTACCAAGTTTAATAACTTAATCTAAAAAGCAGAAGCAATTTAGATGGATGCACATGCAGCACATACTTTGTTTGATTAGTTGACTTTTTGAAAATTTTAATTTTAATGCGCTATTGCTTTGTGCATCTAGTTCCTATACTTATTAGTGTTCTCCAGATTCTTTTATATTGGAGTTAAACATTGGTGGGAAATGTGTTGAATCCTATATTTTATTTCCAGCTTGTGAAAAAATGGCTATATATTACCCTAAATTGAAAAAGTGAAATCTACAAACGATGCGCCATGGCAGATTTACCGAGTTAAGAGTTGCTGAGCCTTTTAACTACATGATCATAATACAAAATAGCCACAACAGCAGTTTTTCTGTCTTTCTAATGGCCAAATATTCCCAAAAGGCAGACAACATAAAGATACATAAACCTTTAGATCTTTCTCTAAAAGCTAATTACACTATGATCAGGTCCTTCAATCCCTTTGGGAATGCTAAAATAAGACATGCGGTGAATGGCGCCAGCTCTTGTGTGACCCTGAAAACCTTTTGAGTGTGCCATTAGTGAAAAAGTGCCTATTAGCATCTAAAATCAATATGTTGTATTCAAAATTGCTTCACAGCAGTTCAGTGGTTTCCTATTCAGAATAATGGGAAGCTACAGAGATGCAATCATGAGGTGAGTGTCCTACTGTATGACATGGAGAATCCTGAGTGCTTGTCCACTTGAGTGCAAAATAAAAAAATTTCAATGACAAACAGATGGGCTACAGGTTTTTGGATTGAAACAAACTAATGCACTTGTGGTTGTTAGAAATGAAAACATTCTGCACAGTTGATCAGTAATATGGTTCTCTTCAAACCAATGTCACCAAGCCTAATTCCTTTGTATCTAGTCTACCTGGCTAATAAAGTGGTTTTGGCATTGTGCTCTAAGTGAAGTAAACAAATAAAACAGGAACTTCACAGCCTGATGGCTTAAGTAGGTCTTCTTAAAATTCATTATTTCAAATAAAAGACCCAGAATATCAACCTAACTGGTAAGTCTTGACCCTGTATGATTTCAGTAATCCTATCATATATTTCATATATTTAGATTTTGGATGGATTTTCTTTTGAACAAAACAAGACATTTGAAGACATCGCCTTAGGAAGTTGTGATGGGTATTTTTAAACTAGTTTTTGGGTTCCTCTACAGTCAATCTATGTTAATCTTGGCTGTTTTTTAAAAGGTTGCTGTTTTTCAGAAGGTATGCAAGTTTAGTAAGTAATTAAAATGTGTCTTACCAACAGAGAAGCTCTTTCACAGACCAAGTTGACCCAGTTTGGGAATTTGCACTACTCCATCTAAACCATCATTCTGCACTTGCAATATATACAAGAAGAGGTGGGAAACATGACGCATACACCAGGTCCCATCTGATGGAAAAACAGTCCTACAAAAAGTAAGCTCCTCTCTCTTCCCCGGCAGCTTAGATACTCATCTCTCCCCCGCCAGTCGCTCTTCCTTTTACTCAGTTCACCCCTCCCACGAAGGACAAAGGGGAAGGGCTTTTAGTATTTTGGGAAGAAGAATGAGCAACAGACAAAAGTTGTAAAGCATCAAACTAGATTTATTAAGTGGTGTACAGTGGGGGAAAAGGGCGTTTGTCTCATGTTAGGTTGGACATTCTAATTAACATTTGTACATGTGTGAATGTGTGTGATAGGGAGGTGGAGGTGGGGGCTTCGAAAAGCCCTTTAATAATGTTCTTGTTCCTAAAGACTGCAGAAAAGGGGTGAAAACCTGTATGAACAGCTACACTGCTTAAAATGCCAATAAAAGTAAAGTTAGTAGGACCCACAGTATATTATCTGATGCTATACATTCTTCACATCAAAACAGTGGAAGAAATCTGCATGACAAAATTTTTTCTAATGCAAATGAATGTTGCAAGTCCTTGTTGTTGACATGAGACTGTAGTGAGTGGAGTAAGCAACCTAATTTACACTATATTATCTACTTTCTTGCTATTATAATCAAGTCAGTGGAAAAAGCTGGACATGTCATCAGCAGATATTTCCATTGTCTGGTTTCAGGTTTTATAAAGAATGTGACTTTTACACAGTTTGCATAACTGAATGACTTGTTCAGACAGACATATGCAGTGCAGATGTGGCCCACATCTGCACTGCATTCTGCTAAGCACAGCTCTGTAAATCAGTTACAAGGGGAATGTAGCAGGAAAAAAGATACAAGAGAGAGATTACTGTATTGTTAATGTTATTTTGCTACCTTTTTCTTAGTTGATGAATATGTACAATCCACAAATTCCTTCCCACTTGATTATACCAATACCCATGTTTCTCAGGCTACTAAACAAGGTGGAGGTGTTGGCTTAATCTACAGATAAGTCTATTTTCAATGTAATCTTCAATCTTGATGTTAAATGTAACTCTTTTGAGCCTATTGTATTAAAACCATCTCCATCAAGGTGTTGGAAAAATTCCTACTTTGATCCATATTGACATGATAGCATCACACAGTTGCTGCAGATTTGTTGGCTGCACATCCATTATGCCAATCTCCCGTCCCACCACATCCCAAAGGTACTCTATTGAATGGAGATCTGGTGACTTTGGAGGTCAATGGAGTACAGTGAACTCATTGTCATGTTCAAGAAACCAGAGATGATTGAGATGATTTGAGCTTTGTGAAATGGTGCATTATCATGCTGGAAGTAGCCATCAGAAGATGGGTACACTGTGGTCATAAAGGGATGGACATGGTCAGCAACAATACTCAGTTGGGCTGTCATGTTTAAATGATGAAGTGACTCTAGCCTGTCCTTGTAATGTTGGTGCCGATATATTCACAACTTGCCACATCAGTCCATCAACTTTAGATGCATTTGGTGAGCAATTACATGTGGTCCTGGCTCCTTTCACTGACTTTTGTACTTTTGTAATTTGTACTAGTGACCTAAACGCAGCCCTCTCTAGTCTTCTGGATTCAGCTGCACCTCTTTCTTCCAAAACAAGTCTGGTTTAGACTTTGGAAATTTACTACTTCTCATTGTACGGAGTGTGTATGAAATTACAAATGTGCTCTGTCCACTGCCAAATCAGTCTATTTCTCTCAGTAACAATAAACCTCCTGAGATTAGACACAAAATGAATTCCTTGTCTTCAACCACTTCTGTAAAATTGGCAGTGCAACATTCATATGTTCAATCTCAATTAGTCTTCATTCTTACAAATTACAATTTCTCTCTAGATGTCTAAGCTGGTGCTAACTTCTAAAGCAACCACCTGCCTCCTTGAGCAAACTGCTTTTAGGGCCAAAACTGCATTTGCTTAAGTGGTAAATGATTTTCTGCTTACCATAGATATGGATTCCACTTCAGTACTTCTATGACTAGATCTCAGAGCGGCTTTTTATATCATAGACCATTGTATACTCCTAGACTGACTGGAAAATCAATTTGGCGTCTCTGGCCTGGCTCTTGGGCAGTTAATGTCTTACCTATTTGAAAGAACACAGTGTGTGCTGTAGAAGAAAATAAAGTAACTTTCTATGAAGGTCATCGCTATAATGACTTATGCATATATTTATAACACGATATAATGCGTCCATAAGACATTATAACAGTTGTTATAATCACTTACAAACATGCATTATGCGCTATAGCAAAGTTCATAACGTTTTATGACCTTTTGATTTAATGTTTTATTACTAATAGTAATACCAGTGCGGCAAGAATCTCTGACCATGTTCCATAGTACATTATAACCACCGACTCCGCCTGGTTATGGATACACTTTAGTCACAATTTACAATTATTAAATCAAAAGGTCATAATATGTTATGAACTTTGCTATAGCGCCTAATGCATGTTTGTAAGTGTTTATAACAACTGTTATAATGTCTTATTGACACATTATATCGTATCATAAAAATATGCATAAGTCATTAAAGCGATGACCTTCATAGAAAGTGTTACCGAAAATAGTTTTATTTTTATTTTTCTCTTGACATTGTCTCTGATTAAATTCTGTCTAAATGACGGTGATCGATGTGCATTGGCTGCCTTAGCTCGTTCAAGTTTGCTGTCTGCTGCAATGTAAAACGCTCTGTACTTGTTGTAAATTGTTGTTAATAACTATTACAAAGTTACAAGTTATCCTGGCCATAAAACAAAAAACATGAATATTGTGCACCACTTAGTATGACTAACTTTCTCTTAGCACACCAACTGTGACTGACTGCTACCATCCCTGTGTAGGGAAGACCGGGTGCTGGTTTGCACATTATTCAGTCTCTGTCGTATTTCCCTGGCATACTTCAGAATAATTTAAGTATACCAGCAGTAACTTAAAGGTTAAAGGTTTCAGCTATAAATAAATATATTTTCACGTACACAAATCTCTTGTAAAATGAATTGATTCGTGATTAAAGACACCACCATCACAGGGTTTTTTGGCACAGGGTCTGGTTGACACACAGTTCTTTGTGGTACTTTGATGGTCGCAGAAACAAAAATTAACATAATAAATGTTTGCTCTCTTGTAAAAATGTAATTGTTTCAGTTTTTAATAAAGGGAATTGGATTATTTATTTGTAAATTACACTTCATGTATTTCAGTTGAAGTCAGAAAATACACCATGATTAAATCAAACCAACTTGAATCTGTGTTGAGATAAATTCACATTGACTGTTAGATCCTTGTGAGTGAAGCCCATTGTCGCATTGTGAGGAAAGACCAGCCCACACCTTTTATTTAGCCTTTTGTTTTCTGTAACCCTGTATATAATCCTGGCCAAACACTCTGGTCAGAGAGAATTCTGTAGCTTTGTTGTGAACTTCTGTCTCCACAGTGAATAGAACTTATTAGGATAAGCCATTGAATTGGACCTTGAAGAATTTTTGATCTAGTGTCTTATAATGTATCAACATTTTCTCTCCAGTGCTCGGTTCTTGGCTCTACTTTTCTTTCTTTATTTTTCAGTTTCCCTTGACCTGTCAAAAATCTTGTTTGTTTATATGTCCAGTGAATAAGATTTAGGAATAGATATATTGGAAAATATGGCATAAATGGAATTTAATTCAGTTCAATTCAATTTTATTTATATAGCGCCAAATCACAACAACAGTTATCTCTGAGCGCTTTTCATAAAAGAGCAGGTCTAGACCATACTCTATGATATTTACTGAGATGATATTTACAGAAACCCAACAGTTCCCACCAAGAGCAAGCACTAGGCGACAGAGGAAAGGAAAACCTTCCTTTTAAGAGGCAGAAACCTCAAGCTAACCATGGCTCATAAGAAGAGTTGATTTTGGATTGTTTTGCGTCTATTATCTCATTTCTACCCACAAACAATAATGACTGAATAATAGTTTCCATTGGCTCTGCTCAACTCCAACATGTACACAGACAGACAGACAGACAGACAGACACCAATGCATATTCAAAGGAAACAAATTGACTATTATGGTCAAATTCTTTCATTTTAACATTTGTGGTAAAACAAGTGTGGGACGCGATTAACCACAGTCGACATCCTTTTACATTACATTACCACACAGTTACAAAAACACACTGCCCATTCCCATCACTAGCACTTAGAGGGGCGGTTTCCCAGACAGTGTGTAAATTAGGTGACTAGGTTTTAATATAGAATAGTTAATCAATATCATAATCATAATTCAAATTATGTTATTTTAGCTAGAGTAGACAAAGTGCCCAAAATAGAAGAAATGGGAAAACACGACAAAAAGGAGGCCTTCTTGAATTTCATATGAAACCACTCTTATTGATATTCTGCTTAAAGTTCTATTTAAAAACAATATCCAAATGACCTCAAGCTACCACATACTTTGCACAGTTGCCAGACACAAAGCTATAACTCACTGGCTGACAGAAGATCTTTCTTGAAACAGTGCCCAATAAAATTCCTCCTCAGACTTTAAACTTTCCACTGTTAATTCCAGAATAACATTTTATTGAAGTCTTTACAAAAAGAGGACAGTCTCAATTTCGGCCAGGAGCAGCACTCAAACTCACTGAACAAAACCTCAACAACAAGGAAAACAAGCATTAATCTGGGGGCTAGCACGAACTTCCACAAGCTAAATCCTCCTGCTTGACTGTGGAGAGATGCAGGAAACTGGAAACTAGGAAGCATTTAGTGGTAGAAAACATTAAACACTCAAATAAACACATTTCCTCACTGCATGCATTTATATATAAGCTAAGTATTTTTTTGCATTTTCATTTCCCCTCCACTTCTCGCTCCTTACTCCTTGCTCCCACTTCTCTTACCCTCATCTAAGCACAAACACAACACATTTCAACAATCCCGCTGAAATGTACACTCAATTCCCTAAACAGGAATCTGTACATGTGATGAAGGAAAGAAAATCCCACACATTTGGGAGTTCACTTAAGAATAACAGCAGACTCATCAGAGACACCTTGAAGCGTACTGT